ACTTTATATCATTTATGTAATTAAATTTTACTAAATTCTAGTCACTATTTTAGAAAAAGTTCATACAAAGTTTAGTAGTAGAGAACATTCCAAAGTTTTGCTGATGTTAACTTTGTTTTGCTCAATGGTTTTGGAATTTGTTTGAACTTTTCTTTCTATCACATAAATGATATCAAAGGTTGAAACTATGTCTTTTTCTTTACACCATATAAGCAATACCAATGAAATCATGGCAACGACAATTAATAAAAACGACTCTAATGGTTTATACTTTGGCCCTGATCTCTTGTGTACCCATCGATTAAACCGACCACTTCCAGGAAAATACTTGACTTTTTTCCGGAAAAAAAAAAAAAAAAAAAAAAAAAAAAAAAAAAAAACCCTTAAATTTGTATTTCTTTATTCAGAAAAAAAAAAATCCTCGACTTTTTTCTAAAATAAATTATCAAATTTGAGGTTTATTTGGAAAAACATAAAATCTGAACATTTTTCATGAAAAAAATCATTCTAAAACCGGAAAATCACCGGTAAACTTGCTAAAATGTCCAAAGTAATATATATATATATATATATATATATATATATATATATATATATATATATATATATATATATATATATATATATATATATATATACAAAATCTTGTTTAAAAAAAAAGAAAAAAAAAGTTCAATAGATAAAACCTAAAATATAAGATATTTTATGATTTTTTTGGAACGTTAAATTTAATTTACTTCTAAATTACTTCTAATTTTACATATATCTCTAACGAAACTTGAATCATCGACCTTAAAAAAAAGGACAACACATTTATGATATTAAATCTTATTTTCTTTAATCATTTTGTTTGCATGCCATAATTTTATAATGAGCATGCAAACTTTTCGATAATCATAAATCAAATTAAAAAAATATTTAATTGAAGATATGATTTTTTAATAAAAGCTTTATACCTAGCGATATTAGAAGTTAACATAAGGATACCCTTGTAAATGGTTGAGGGTTTAAATCTCGAGGGACAAAAATGTGTAAGTTTAAGATTATATTTTTGTTTTTTGGAAGGGTGGAATATTATAAAGCTAGCAAGAAGCTAGAAAGATAATTACATCAAAATAGTAGCTGAAAAAGAATTATGAAGCCAAGAGACCAACTAAACTTGGCTCTACTACGCCTACTAGAAATCCAAAAAAAGATTTATGAACGAAATTATCAAAAATCATAGATATCTTAGGCGTAGCCGCTCTAAAAATCAAACGGTTCCTGAAATTCCAAATGCATCAAAAGGCAATCAAGATCGCCGCGTCAAAAGCTTTATGCTGGCAGATACGTCAGATGGTAGTATCAGCCCAATTGATAAGAGAATCCATGGTCAACTGAGAAGGATAGTTAACACCCCACCATATCGCAATACAGGACCATAAAGCACTCAATTCAGAACAGTCAGCAATAATATGGTCAACACTCTCCATTCTAGAAGAACATGCAGGGCAAATAATAGAATCCACCATGACACCCCTATAAGATAAGCGTTCTCTAGTATGGATATTAGACAACCTAATTCTCCAAATAAGAATATTGATCTTAATTGGGACCCAATTATTCCAACGAGTAGAGCTACCTCTGTTTCTAAGCGTAAGACCATCCAAAAGTTTTCGAGCCAAAGAAATTGAAAAATTATCTGAAATATCGATAGCACAACCCAATCTATATGGGACCAGTTTGAGTTGAAACTCCTGCAAAAGTCAAGAAAAGTTGTTCCATTACACCTGTTTCGCGCCACCTCGAGGGTTACGTCTGAGAGTGTTAACTCCCAAACCCATGGACAACCTGTATGTAACAGAGACATGTCTATGCAAATCCAGCGCATAGATTCTAGGAAAAGTGGTAGATAGAGGCATATCGTACCTCCAAACATCATGCGAAAAAGAAGTGTGGGTACCATCACTAACTCTAATAGGGCACAAAGATTGAAGATCAATATCTTTCTGGAGTAACTGGGAGAACATACGAATAACTCTACCCCAAGATCCTTGGCCAGTAATAGGATATCTCAGATTCCTGCAAGAGCCATCCAAACCATATATAGATTTCATCACTCTAACACACAGAAGATCAAGGCAGTGATAAAACCTCCACCACCAACAAAAAATCATAGCTCTATTGAAAGAGAAAAGACTACCAATCCCCAATCCGCCTTCATCCTTGGAGGCTAAGACTCTATCCCATCTAACCCAATGCATACGATGTTCATCACTGTCTGCACCCCAAAAAAATCTTGCCCTCATACCTTCAAGGTCCTTCAGAACCGAAATAGGAGCAAGGAAAATAGACATCAAGTAACTCCCTGACGAACCCAGACAGACTTCACCAAAGTAACACACCCTCCAAACAAGAGACATTTAGCCTTCCAGTTTGAGAGCATGGAACGAAATCTATCAATTATAGGAACCCAAGAGGACTTTCGAGTCATAGGCTGACCCACCGCGATACCAAGATGAGAAAAAGGGAGCATAGAGGCTGCACAACGAATCCTATTAGCCACCACAAGAACTTGGGAAAAAGAAATTACCACAACAATCAAGTTACTTTTAACTAAATTGATTTTGAGCCCTGAAGCCAAGTAAAAGCATCTAAGGATACGAAGGAGACAATTAGCATTTTCAGGATCCTAAGGAGTGACCAACATAACACCATTCACCTATAGGAGATGAGAAATCTCAATTCCTGAAATAGAGACCCCTCTGAGAGCATTCACACCTCGAGCCTGCATCAAAGCAATATGAAGACCCTCCATAGCCAAAATAAACAGAAAAGGGGAGAGAGGATCACCCTGTCTCAACCCACGGTGAATTTGAAATTCATCAGTCAGGGAACCGTTAATCAACACAGAATCCCTCGCAGCTGATAGAAGTTCTTTAATCCACCGACACCACGTAGACTCAAATCCTATACTGGACATAATTTCTAATAAGTATTCCCAAGATAAGGAATCAAAAGCCTTCTCAAAATCAACCTTAAAAAGCATCAAAGGTTTTTTGGAAGACTTGCTCCAAGCAACCTATTCATTAAGAAGAAAAGGACCATCCAGGATCCGTCTACCTTTGATAAAAGCATATTGCTCAAGGCTAACAACACTATGAATAACCTCCATAAGACGATTAGCTAGAAGTTTGCCAATAATTTTGTATTGGAAACCAATGAGACTAATGGGTCTAAAATCTTTTGGAGTCTTCAGATCTCTGACTTTTGGTATAACAGTGAAAAGCAAGGCATTACATCCTTTAGGAATAGCAAAATGATGGAAAAATGATGAAGAAAGGCCTCAACATCGGATGCAACGAGGTCCAATATCTCTTCAAAAATCCGCAAGTTAACCCATCAGGGCCAGGGGCTTTATTAGACCCACAATCCCAAACAACTCTTTCTATCTCCTTACAGGAAAAAGGAGACTGCAAATACTCAACTCTTTTTTATCGTGAAACCCCTCTTTAACCTTGATCGGATTATCTACCCACGCGTCATCAATCATCAAACCTCGAATGGAAGTGTGTCTCCTTTTACGATTAAGCATACCATGGAAAAATTTAGAGTTCTCATCCCCTTCGATGCTCCACTGGATTTTAGCTTTTTGAACAAGATCAACTTGAGCTAAGTGATCGAGATCCGACAGCTCCTTTAATAAAGAAACTCTTTGCTCTCTCAAGTTGGCATAGCCTTCATCCTCCATGAGCCTAATATCAATAGACACTAATGAATCTTGCAAATTCTTCCTTTTACTACCCACCATATCCCAGTGTTTGGAATTCCACTCCCTGAGATTAGATTTAAGAAACTAAAGTTTTTTCTTAAAAATAACCCATGGGTTAGTCAACTCCATCCCCACCAACGAGGTAGCCCAAGCCTCCCGAACAATGTTATCAAACCCTTCCATATCAAACCAAGAGTGAAATAAACGAAAATGAGTTAGGCCATAGTCAAACTGATGCTCCAAGAGAAGAATAGGGCGGTGATTACGAATATTCTTTTCCATGACCATAGCTGAAAGATGAGGAAACAAATCCATAAAACCCTCCGTCACCAAAAGTCTATCAAGCTTGCTAAATTTGGAACCCCATTTATCGCTCCAAGTAAATCGAGGACACCCAAAGGAACATCCACAAGATCAAGAGAATTAATAAAATCATTAAAGACTCTCACAGAAGACATATTGAAGTTCGAGCCTAATCTTTCGGAATCATCTCTAACTTCATTGAAATCCCCAATAACAATACATTCCCCCGGAGAGTTGGAGATAGAATTATAAATATCATTACTAAGACGTCTTTTGTTACTTATCCCTTGAGGAGCATAGACAACAATAAAATTCACATGGAGACCCGAACGAACCCAAACCGCTTCAATAATAACAAAGTCATCATGAATGCAAACTCAAATATGAGAGATCAAGTCCACATTCCAAATAACAAGAATACCCCCAGAAGCTCCACGAGAGGGAGAGAAAGCATTCAAAAAGGAAGAATTTCCCCAAAAAGATCTAGCCATAACTAAGTCAATGCTTTCAAGCTTAGTTTCTTGAATAACTAGAAAATTGTTTTTGTAATGATTACACAATTTTCTTATCCAACTCCTCTTATCACATGATCCCGCCCCTTAGATATTTATTGATAAGCAATTCATCTTGGAACTTGCCTCTCAACGTGACCTGTTAAAATCTCTGTGACACGATCCATACAACCAGCCATATTATAGCCAAACAATTCTCCCATAGCAATGGTTTTTTGTAGTTCATTTAGGAATGAATTATTTTTTTTCAATGCCACGTGAAATGCTTTGATTGTTCCCCGAAAACGAAACCCGCTGATTTGAGAAACCCGGGGGATGCGATAAATCATCTTCAAAACAATTAAAACCCAAGACTCATCCATAACCTCAACAAAAACCCACCGATTTACTATGAACTCGGTCCTTAGAAGAACAACTTTCAATAAAAACATCATTCATTCCCCCTTGTATTCTGATTGGCTCCAGGTTCTTTTTCGAATATTAGACGAGAAAAATGGAGTTGAGGTTGTCGAGGTAGTATCCGACGCTTTATCAGGGGCTTCTGTCACATTTTTTACAGCAACAGAGGCTCTTGTCGCAGATTTGACAGCAATAGGAGTAGCTTGAGCTATTATCGTAGAATTAACAGCATCAGGAGCAGCTTGAGCTACGGTCAGCTTGGTTGCAACCTGTGGACAAGTTTAAGTTGGGTCGTAATTAGGATCAGCGATAGGAGGAGGTCCCTATGAAGTTGGGTCTTCATTTTTTGATACAGAATTTCGTTTATGCCCCTGGGATGAAACCTTATGTATCTTGGCTGATTTTTTTAAGTTCCTCTTCAATATCAATTTTTTTTCATAACATCATAGATACCAAAAGGATCAAGTGAAATATCTTCCCTATCGGTTAAAGAGTCATTTCTACTATTATGATCTTGCTCGAATCTGTGAATAACATCAACACTATCATTATCAATGTTATTGAACTCACAAGCGAATGTCGGATTCCAACCAGGGGCTTCTTTTATACAAATGGGAAATATTTCACCGTCAATGCTAACTTTAATCACTTTAGAAATTATACCAAGAAACGGGGTGATAATACAAACACGTGACTTGTAGACGTCTTCTCTAATGTTATCATCAAGATGGGCAATTGAACCCCATTTGGCCAAAATAAGTCTAAACGAGTTCTTACTCCAAGCACGAAGGGGGAGACCTTCAACATCAACCCGCACAATACGATCAGATTGCACAAAATTTTTGTCCCAATTTCTTTTTTCAGTGATCCAATGATTAACCGCATCACTAGTTAAAAAAAAAAATTACAAGCTTCTTTGGATTTAAATTCAAATATCACCCACACACCACCCACATATCGGACGATAAAGTCATCTAAACCTTCATCATGGCATAACATTCCCAGACTGGGAAGAGTATTAAAGTCACGGGCCTTGGCTAAGCATGCTAATTTTTTGTTATCAATAACAAAATTCCCAAATTCAAGAACAATGGCTACTTCTTCTTTGTCAAATGAGGATTTCTCACAATTACCACTTGTAACTGAAAATCTGACAAAACCAAAACGTTTTCCCATACAAAACAGCTTTTTTGAGATAAATACATCGCAAACTTTTCCAAACCGGGAACATGCACGCCAAATATCAGAATGAATTATGTAATCTGGGAAGTTTGTGATATAAAACGAATCATCAGACCTGGATGATGCATGGGGTCTTTCAGTAGAGGCCTTTCGGTCGTGATACTTGTTCATCTTCCAACCCTCACCAAATGAAGAGCTTGAGTGATTAGAGACCATTGGATCGATCAGTATTAGAAGAAACTTCACCAGAACTCGATCACCCCAACGAGAGAAAAACAGGAAGAGAAATCCCCACAACGGAAAAACTCGATCAGAAGAGAGAACAAGCTGAGGCCCTACCGGCGTTTGCACCTGCCGGAGAAGGACTGGGCCAAGCGGCTACGCCGCTAATCAGAAGGAGAATTCCGAAATCGCCAGAGAAGAAGGGCTCTATGAACGTGATTTTTAGAAAAGCTAGATATCGAAGATATATTCTACGATAAGTTTAATATTATATTAGTAGATGCATGTGTTAATTGTTCTAAATATATATATATATATATATATATATATATATATATATATATATATATATATATATATATATATATATATATATATATATATAATTTTTATTTTCAAAAATCCATATTCATTGAATAAGCCTTTGTTTGTTTTAATCCGAAAATTCTAGTTACAAAAAAATTAAAATAATAAAAGTTAGAGGCATAATAATCAGTTTTATAATTCACGTAAATACTCGTTGATTATATATAAGAACTCCGTTATAACACGTCCTAATTAATATTAAAGTGATAATCTATATCTTTAAATTAGAATTTGACATTTGAAAACGACTTACTTGAAAAGGAAAGAAAATTTGATGTTTGTGGCATAAGTCGCAAATGGTTGCCAACATTCCAAAGAATACTCATAATGAAACTTCCATTTCAAATCCCACCCATTTAAACATCCCTTTTTTGCTTTTCTAGAACTCCATCATCATTTCAATTCATTATGTTTTTTTGAAAACAAAATTGTTTCCATTACCATCTTACAAAATTAAAATTGTTAACTTAACTTTTATTGAGCACTTGTTGAGTAAGTCTTGAAGATGACGTACCGTCGCATACAGTTAGTTACAGGGAAATATGCAAAAAAAAAAATTGTCATTATTTTAGAACCTTTATTTTATAAAGTCTTAAAAAAATTAAGCAGAAAAATCTCGTTTAATTACATGGATTTATTTAAAAGAAAAAAATTAAATATAAAACTCCAAATATTTGAAAAGTTTAAATTTATAAGAAAATTTTTTTTAAAAATATTGTATTATAAAATTAAAGTGTTTCCTTCTCTAAAGGAAATCAATGAAGGTTTAATTAGTAATTTTAAAATTAAAATGAAAGTTCGTTAATAAAATTAATATGTATTTATTATTGCATTTAAATACTATATGAAATTAAAAAAAATGGAAAAATCATAAAATAACATGTGGAATAAAAATTAATTCAAAATAACCACAAAATGATATTTGGCAAATTGAATGACAGTGTGACAAATAGCAAAACAAATTTCATTTATTAGAGTAGAATTTTGCTCAAATTAACGAAAAAATCATTATTTTAATTTTAACAGGAAATGTCAAATTATCATGTAAAATTAAATAATTGAGACTCTTCTATTAACTTTTATGACTTTATAAAAAAAATTCCTAAAATAATATGACTTCTTAGTTACAAACATTTAAATTCATCTTTAATTCTACACCATTTTTAATACTAATATAATACAGGGAATTATGTTATCAGATGAAAAGTTGAATTTAACCGAAAAAACCTTAGGTTCTGGCGAATCCAACAGTCCCTTGGTTCTAGGGATGTCAACGGGATCAAACGGGAGCGGGAATAGCTGCCCCCGCTCCCGCCCCCAAAATCAATTGTTGCCCCCGCTCTCGGTCCCGCCCCGGCTCCCCCGTTTACACAGTCATCGGTCCCGCCCCGGTTACCTCTATCACCCCCAGTCCCGCCCCCGTTCCCCCTCTTAAAATTCATTTTTTTTGCTAAACAACTACTTTGTGTTAGGCTAAAAAGCTTATTTTTAATAACTTTAAAAGTTTAAAACATAATCTTTTAGAAACTAAAAAAATTAAAAATCCAACATTACGAATTCAACATTACAAAACGACAATTTTATCAATCTTAAAAATATAAAATATGACAAATCCAATATTACAAATATAAAATACTTACATATCCAAAAATATATGATCAATTCACTACCTCTTCAATATCTATTAATTGGAAACGGAAAAGTGAAACCTAACATACACTTAAAATTAAAAAAATATATTTTGTATATGTATTTTATATTAAATATATATTTTTTTACATAAATGTACAACCGGGGCCCCGCGGAAGTACGGGACGAAAATACCAACTTTCGACCCCGATCCCAAAAATAAGCGGGGTTTAATTTTACCCCCGCTCCCGCTCCCGGTTTTTTTAAAAATTTAATCCCGTACGGGATCGGGGTCCCACGAGAACGGGATTCCACAAGGATTTTTGACATCCCTATTTGGTTTTGCTCCCAGGCTCAAATGGGTGAGGTTGACATGTTCACGAAAAAATTGAACCAATTAGATAACGACTATTTTCCAATTAAATATATCTATTATTTAATTTCAAATTCATTCTAATTTTCTTCTTTCATTCCTATAATCCTATTTACTTCTATCACAATGAGTTGTTCAGATAGCTCGCATTCATATGTTTCATATGTTCATAGCAAATTAGCTCATGAAAATAATCATGTTTTTTATTCATCTTCTTTTTAATCGTCAATTAACTATAACATTTTAATAGTAGCTTATTGAGCTGTTATAGTGGTTCTACAAGATACTACAAGTTCAGCATGTCTACTTATCATGAAAGACAACGGGAAGTTGTTGAAAGATTGCTTATACAATATTATTTTGTTGTGAAAGCAAAGTTTGGTTGAAATGTTTAGAAGAATTTTCAGATGAGTAGACACATATATATACGTTTAGTTGAGGATATGGAAAGAAAATATCCATTTTTCAAAAAAACTTATTGCAAGGATGCAAAAAGTTTTCACAGCATTACAGAAATGCACATTTACGATATGACAACTAGTGTACGGTAACCCAAGTTAAGTAACGTTTATGAAAACACTCCCACATTTGGCTACTGACAATAAAAAACGGTTCATTGTGGTACAAGAAGCAACTAGAAAATTAGTGGAACTGGCTTTTGGCATACTAAAAATTCAATGGGAGATAATAAGACTCCTTGCGTGATCTATAGATGTTGCAACGTGTAATGATATAATGCATGATTGTTTTATATCACAATATATGATACTAAAAAATGAAGGAGCTTGTATACATGATTTCTCCCGAGGTAGAAATAAATCTAAATATGATTATGGAATTGCAAGACTCTGAAACCCATCATCGACTTCAATCGGATCTTCTAGTTCACATTGGGCATGCTACATGCATATTTTGGATGACCAATTAATTTTTTTTATCGTCTTAATTATCATATTCTGAATTGTAGGATTTTAATTCTCATTTGTAGTTTGTGCTGTTTTCAATGAAATATTTTTAATAATTTTAATTTTATGTATTTATTTTTAATTTAATAAAAAATTTACTACTTTTTAGAACAAAAATGGAAGGGTTATGAAGGTTAGAAAGATAGGTTCTTTGGTTTGAGAATGATGGAAGAAAGACAAGGAAAAAAACTAATACGACATCAATCTGGCAAGAGGGTTGAGAGATTTGGGAGAGAATGAGCATCTATTGTTAGTGTTTCATATCCAGCTTGTATAAAATTTTCCATCATTTTAACATCATTAAAGTTGTAATCCCCGCAAATATAGCTATACATAGTAAGTACTACTTATTAAAATCAAAATCTTTGAATACGATAATCTATAGTCATGTGTGTTGTAGACTATATAATACAAGTTTCGTATTAAAAAACAAATATATATATATATATATATATATATAATATATATATATATATATATATATATATATATATATATATATATATAGAAAGTACGCAAAGCCTTGATCACAAAAATAGAAATTTCATGGAAATCCAATTCAATATGAATTAGACATGAGATATAAAAGTCACCTGGGTACAACGAATATGTGACATAAAAAACTACGAAAAGAATAATTAACTTTTATCGAAAGTCACCAAAATAAAAAGCGTAGTACTCTTTAACATAGGAATTTTGAAAAAAAATGTCAATAACGAATATACGAGAGAATTATGATTTTAGCAAAATCATTTAATCATATATAATCAGGGATGAAAATTAAATTCAGAATTAGCCGATGGAGTCTAAAGGAAAGTTGTAGATCTCGTCAAGATCTTTCCGGGGATATAAAAAAACGTCAAAATGGAGCTCTTACGAATAAGTTATGGAGTTTTCAAAATTTGTGTTTTGCGCAGCGCGTGGTGCACGACTCGTGCTTCTAGAAGGTGAAAACATGGACCATAGAGAGAATGATGTAACATCGCGTTCCTGGTAAGCATTAGTTCATTTTAATTTTCATTTTGTAAGAGCTACTCGACGAGTTGATAGCTCTAACTCGTCAAGTAGATGCCAGATTGGACACGAGGATTAAATGACGTACTTGGCGAGTCGACAACCAGACTTGACGAGTACGGTTGCCAGGAGGAAACCCTATTTTCGGGGTTTTGCACCATATTTAAGCCACTTAACCCCCTTTTGGGCCTACCTTACCATCCCATATCTTAGATCTCTTTTAGTGTTGATTTATGGGTCTTTTTGATTCCTTTGAGAAGGATAAGTTACCCTCTAGGGTTGTATGACAAGCAATCCCTTTTTCCTGTGATATTTGGCCTCTAGAATCATAAAAGATGTCTTGAGCCCGTTTTTGTCCATTTGATGGTCATGTTCATGGAAGTAGGTTGCTATAACTTGCGTTTGGGTCCATTTGAGGTATGCAAAGCCATCAAGTCTCCAACTTTATAGAAATGAAACATGGAAACGATTTGGATCTTTATTTTAGAGCCCTGGATTTGTGAAATCAGTTGTTTAGGTTAGATCTGCAAGGGACTCGATGAGTTCATATGGGAACTCGATGAGTCCGATCAAGGATCCTCGATGTTGTTCATGAAACTCGGCGTGTTCTCAAGGAACTCGATGAGCTGGATCATCTTGTCCCTTTT